AAAAAAAAAAAAAAAAAAAAAAAAAAAAAAAGAAAAAAAAAATTAAAAAAAAAACATCGATAATTTAATAATCGCTTAGAAATGTGAGTTAAACAAAATGACATGCGAGTCGGAAGGACTGGCTGAAAGAAAGAATAATAATATTAACGTTCACTTTATCCTGGGAAAGTATTTTGTATACCGTATACAATCAACTTCTTAAGAAGCATTTCAGCTGTGTTTTAAATGAATTTTTATAAGACTAAAACAAATATAGAAACAAAGATTTATACGCAATAAATTCATTTCCGTGACTTTCGAGTCTTCGTTTATATTCTAAGGTATTTCCTTCGATTCATTATAATGAACGTGTGAAATTCAGCCAGAAAGAAAATCGAATTCAAGATGATGCAATATCGTCGCGTTCATGTTACCTCTTATTTGTTAACACTGTATTTTCTAATGTGAAATGAACCTCGCTCCTGTATATTTTATTCGAAATTGTATAAAGAGGTTTCTAATATATTTTTAACTAGTAGAGTACGATGACATTTAATTTTCACAAAGAAACAGGCACAACCAGCGTACCTTAGAATACTAAACAATTTTTAAGTCTTTACCTCCCTTAGGATTTATCGTATAAAGAGACTGCATAATTTGCGTATCCTGCACGTTTTCTACGATTTACTATCATTTTTGTTTCTTTAAAAGAGAATGAGAAAAGAGAGGACGAATTTAGAAAGTGTTTGTGAACTGTTCCTTAAATCTATGCATTTTATTATTTTAAAGGAACAGTATCTGTGGCGAATGTTTTCTGTTTGTGGATTATTCGAACCGACGGATGATCCCATGGTACATGCGTATATTTTGAATGTATGTTTTGTTCTCCCATGTATATAAATTTTTAATTTTTAGAGCACTCGGAATATTTGTCTAGACGACAGTTTTTAGCTATAATTATAAATATGTAGGGATAATTCGCGCACGTAACGCGAGTGAAACACTTGTAAAACATTGTTAATAAACATATTACAAGATAAAAAATCAATGTGTAATATTTTCTTTTTCTTTTTTCCTTTTATAATTCATTTTTTGAACACTAAATGGCCACGTGTACACGGAAGAGTTGTTTGAAGTTGTTTGAAGTTGTTTGAAAGAAATTCAATTCGGTTCGATATGGGCACAAGAACAAGGCTTCGATGGAATTTACTAATCTAACAAGTAACATTAGAACAGATGTAATGCATTGCTGTAGTTTTATTACGTTTGGCCATGCGTACCATAAGTATGAGTTCGCTTTTCGACAAATGTTCCTCTCTTACCGCACGCTTCGTTCGCTAAAAATAATAAAAAGTACTTAGCAATAACAATTATTTTCATTTATAAAATAACGCTACCCTATGCATATCTGGTGTCCATCAATTAATGGATTTAACAGAACGTTCTACAATTAGAATTGGCGAGTAAAACTTATCAATTATCATTGATCGGACGGTGCTCGTTTTTTTTTTTTTTCCAGCTCTCTGAAACCGAACAATCGATGATAATTTACAAATCAAATTATAGCAAGTTGCACTTGAACTTTTTTTTTTAAAACGGTAGCAGAATAAACGATAAAAACAAATAATAATTCGACATGAAAGAAAAACGCTTTAAAATGTAATTAAATAGAAAAGAAATTAAAACATGTTCAAACAAAAAAAAAAAAAAAAATGAATAAAATTAACGAAATTGATTTTGATTAAAAACGATCACATTGTTTATCGATTTAAAATTGGTTAAAATAATAATAATCGAAGCTATTGGGACCGATTCGAAACGTTTCTGTCGTTGAGCGCTTTCAAAATCTTTTCTCACTTTTTATTTTTTTATTTTTATTTATTTATTTATTTTTTTTTTTCTCAAATTTGGCACCGTCAATTTTAACTCGTTCCCCTTTTCCAGCAACAAGAGAATACATTCAATTTCAAATTAATTGCAGACCAGTTATTCTGATAAAAGTTTATCACAATAATAAAGTTTTTTTTAGTGCGCATCCTATAAGTTTGTGTACAAGTTGTTCCTCGATTGTAAATTCCAAAAATACAATCTTGTATCCTTCTCATATCTGCTCGAATTTCCAAAAAAAAACGTGCTAATGAATTACACGTATCATTTCGTTCGATTTCTGTCGTATGAAAATTAATTACACGCATCGTGGAGATTTTCTTTTAAAGCTATCAAGCGATTTTTCAGTGATCTGGGAAAATATTAGCTATTAGAATTCACAGAATATACATTTCATTTTTCTATTACGAATCATTCCACGAGCGAGATCCAGTCGAAAAAAGAAAATGAATTCGTGATAGATTGGAAAAATATGTTAGAAACTATATGGAGAAAATTAACATTTTTATTGTACAACAATGAAATAATGATAATATTAGAAAATTAATAAAGAGAAAAATTAATATTGTACTTGATTTACAGATTTTTCAACGGATCCCGCTTTTTGCTTTCAATTAAGATCTCTCGATCAGGCAAAAAACTATTGCTAGAATTTCCCTTAAATTGTTATTCAACGGTTTATCTATGCTACAATGTATATACAGCATGGCAGTGATTACACACTCTATATTTCCTTGCCGTACAATACACGTGCTACAAAAAATTTTGCAACGTTAAAACTGCTTGATTCGAGCTTGCGAATGATCGTATGATCGACCGTTCGCAGGTCTTTCCTTATCGAATTTTAATATCCCCGATTGATTCAAGATCGGCGTCGATCAACATAAACGTATTTGTCAATCTATCTATAGAACATACTTGTCATGCCTTATCAATGTTAGAAAGAAATTTCTTCTGACAAATCACAAAATGCGCCTGTTACGTCTACGTATCTCCACCGTGTATAAATTAATCCGTGTAATAATAGATTTTACCAAAAGCGAGCGCAAGTCTTGGAAAATCCACCTAATTAGAGTACTTTATTTATTTGGACAGTAAATTTGGTCGTGAATAAATCTGACGAAATGCGATGAAATTTTCGATTTCCAACAGGGAATAGGAGGATAGTCGATCTTCAGATGAAATTCGAACGGTTCGTACATGAAAATAATTTCGTACCAAATTAATTTTCCTAATGTTTCTTTCTTATGCGCGTGGAAAAATAAAGAAAACGAACGTCAATTTAATACGGA